TTTGGCACTTTAGCCTTTGGAACAGAGTATGTTGCTAAGAGGCCCAAGGACATTTTGACTTTTAGCCAAGAAACTGGCTACTTTTCTTTGGGGTCTTTTTACCCTAACTGCCTAGTTAATTCCTACCTCCTGTTCTTATCACACCATCCTCTGAAAGGTTACCAGGTTGAGGATAGGGAATTGGGACACAGACCTCTCCGGTTGGCACTTTAGCCTTTGGAACAGAGTATGTTGCTAAGAGGCCCAAGGACATTTTGACTTTTAGCCAAGAAACTGGCTACTTTTCTTTGGGGTCTTTTTACCCTAACTGCCTAGTTAATTCCTACCTCCTGTTCTTATCACACCATCCTCTGAAAGGTTACCAGGTTGAGGATAGGGAATTGGGACACAGACCTCTCCGGTTTCTTCCACACTGAACAGGGATGCAGGGTGAGGCAATTGGGATACCTCTTCAGTGGGTCTATCTAAAAGACTCCCAAATGCATAACTCTTATCACCACCTGGAGGCAGGATCCAGGGGCTCTCAGGCAGTCCCCTGTGTTCTCAGCCCCTCTATCAGAGAGAGGCCAGAGGGAGGCCAGAACTGGGTATTCTCTGGCAGTCTGCTAAGATCAGAGCCACTCTTCCCCCCCCCCCCTTGGAGACAGGTGTTGCTATGTATTCATAGCTAGCCTGTTACTATATAGCCCAGGCTTACCTTGTACTCATGGCAATCCTCCTGCCTCAGCCTCCTGAGTGGTAGGATTACAAGCATGTACTGCAATACCTGACTTCATATGAAAAAATTATAAAAAATATTGAATAAAATTACCTTCATGTTCTATGTATAAGGTATATATGTTAGTTTTTTGACACTGTGATAAACATCTATGACAAATTAAGAGAAAGGAGGTTTACTTTTGCTCATGGCTTCAGAGATTACACTCCATGGTTAGGTGGTTCATTGCTTCTGGTCCTGTAGGAGACAGAACATGTTGGTAAGAAGGGTGGAGGAGCAGAGCTGCTCATCTTGTGGCATACACAAAGTAGAGCTCCCAAGAACTACTTCTAGTGATCATTGTCCTCCAGAGAGGCTCTGCTTCTGAATGTTTATAACACTTCCCAATAATGCCATACAGTTGCTAAAGGCAGAGCCATCATGACTAGTCACTTCTCAGTGTTTGGGCCTGCCAGCTTGAGGTCAGATCTTCCATCTGTGAGCCTTTTGCAGGGGACATTTCATATGCAAATCCAACAGTGTATATGAAAGCATAAATGAATCTTAAACATAGATTTGGTTTTCTTTTCCAAGATACTTCTTTATGTTTATGAAATATCTCAAAATCTGATCCACTTCTGGTCCCAGTATTTTGGATAAGAGATGCTCAGCCTGTACCATAAAGAGGTAGTATGAGGCTGTGTGTGGTAGTGCACACCTTTAATACCAGCACTCAGAAAGCATAATCAGATTTCTGTTGAGTTCAAGGCAAGCCTGATTTACATAGTGAATTCCAGGCTAGCCAGGGCTATGTAGTAAGTCCTTGTCTCCAAAAAAAGAAAAAGAAAAAAAGGCAGAGGCAGATGGATTTCTGTGAAATCAAGGCCAGCCTGGTCTACATAGCAAGTTTCAGGCCATCTGGGGCTACAGGGGAGACCCATGTGGCAGTTAAAGGACAACTTGTAGAAGCCGGATCTCTCTTTTCTACCATGTATATACCAGGATTGAACTCAGGTCGTCAGGATTGCCAGCAAGTGTCTTAACCCACTGAGCCATCTCACTGGCCCTAAAGATATGTATAATATGATGGTTTTAATAACATAGTAGATGAAGCTTACAAGAATTCCTTTCCCTTTAGAAACCAAGAAAAATATAGCTGGGTTCAGGAGAATGAAAGAGAATTCTTAGGTAACAAAAGTGAAGTGAACTCAAAGCCAGAGTAGTTTGCATGGCCCAGGATTGTTGTTATTGGGCCTGGAAGCTTAGATTTATTGCTGTTTGTGGTGTAGGACCTGCTAGGCTGACAACTGTAGCCAAGAACTTATGTCAAGCTTGAATTCTGACAGGACTGCCCAGGTTTCAAAAAGAGAACTTTGTAAACCTTGGCTCAGAGAAATGGCAAGGAAGAGGATCTATTCAAGGATCTGGGCTGGGACAGAAAAGTAATTTGTGAAAAATTTTTACTATTCATAGAATTTAGAATCCCAAGCAAGAATTTGACATAGAAACCAAGTCTGTGC